TCGGTCATGAAAATTTAGCATAACTAGCTCTGTTAACCGGCTGTTTTCTTCAGGAACATTATGCATAACTTTATCACTAATTGTTCCACTACACTTTTTACTCTGCTAAATAGACTTCAACTTAGTTGCTGTAATACTAGCTACTTATATACTTCATACTTCTTAAACACAATTTCCTAGGCGTCTGCTACAAATGTATTATTAATATTAGTAGTACTATTTTTGAGTTGAAATGACTATGTTCAGTCAACAGTTACCCATTTTCATATAATTTTCTAAAAAAATTCATATTGTTGAAATTATGTAGTATTTTTTCCACTATGTAATTGATGAGTCACTTTGCAATGTGTAACGCACACCATATAAAATCGGTCGTGAAAATTTAGCATAACAAGTTCTGCTAACCAGTTGCCTTACTCAGGACCACTTTACATAACTTTATCACTAATTGTTCCACTACACTTTTTACTCTGCTAAATAGACTTCAACTTAGTTGCTCTAATATTAGCTACTTTTATACTTCATAACTCTTAAGGGAAACCTAATTTCTTAGTCTTTTGTAGTAATCCACTTGTTCACTAGTATGATGATAATACCGCTAACAATGTCCTCTGGTATTATTGTGCCATGTGACCTAATGGGAAGCACTTGTCATGAAAGCTGTTAATATGCAGCATACTGTATGATTGGGACGGAGTCAAAGCAATCCAATATTACAACTGCAGTCATTGTAAAAGGTCTCAGAGCTTAATGTCAAAAAAGGAGGGAGGGTGGCGCATGCTGATCAGCAGATTTGGTAGTGGTCATAAATGTGAATCGCTCCGATCTGTAGGACAGCAACATGCATTATTTTGGCAGCTCGAGAATTAAACATGAGTTTAGATACTGAGAGTATAAAAAAAATTGACTTTATAAAAAAAATTTTAAAAAAAACAAACTAAAACAATAATGACTGTAGAGTTTTAGCTTGTAAAAAAAAAATAATGCTTTCGCTCCTAACATCTACAGGCCTGCTCAGTTTCTTGTCAAGATGCTATCCCATGGGCAATACACAAGGTCGCCAGACATCCTACAGGTCTCCACATTCAACAGGTTCTAATCCTTCCAGCCACTTCTCTCTAAAATGTCACTCATATACTTCACGATAATCCTTCTACCTAATTACTATTATACTCTATTTTATCTCAACTTCCTAGGCCTTTAGTAAAGCTGAAATTTACTCTTTTGTTTTTCTTTTTTCTCATTCACACTCTTCTCTCGCATAAAGTTCGGTTGCTCTAATGATAAAAAAAACATAACAACAGCACTCATGTTTGAGAATAACTCTATTTTCATAGAAAACGTCATAGTTTTCTACGGTAAGACCAATATGGTTAGCATCATACATTGCAAATGTACACTATCACATCAAGTACTGTATAGCTTATTCTTGTATTTTTCTTGTAAATATACTTCCAATAATGTATTATTCATGATTGCATTTTATACCATTTTGTAGCTGTGCAGGATTTTCTCCTCTTCCTGAAATAGCGTTCAAGCACGTGGTTGTCGCTCAACTTCGATGGAAACCTTCGTGGAAGATTTACAAATTAACAATTATAAGAATCTGTTCCGATAGCTTGTACTATATAATTCAACAATTTGAACCTTTAAAAAAAAGTGATAATCTTACTATCCCTTGTAAACGTTGTACTTACCTCAATATTGGTTGGCTATCGTATGCCTACAACTAAGGGTTGAAAACGAAACGAAGTCGATTTTCCTGCGCAACCTGGAGGACTACTGTTTAATTCAACAATGATACCACATGGGTCAGACAATGAGTGTATTTATGTATATACCAAATATTTAGCTGTTCAAACATTATTAACTTGTAGACAATCTACTATTTGTCATTATATCATATCATGCATTTTCATGTAAATTTATGTTTATATGAAAATATAAATTATTATTATTATTATTATTATTATTTTATTATTATTATTAATACCAACAAGAGACCATCATCAAAGACCACAAGAAAATTCATTCTAACATATGTGTTAAGAATATCTCCGAAGCAACGGCCACAATGTTAAGACCGTTTGAAATAAACATAGCACAAAAGCCTGCACAATCACTTCATTTGGTATTATGAAGACTGAAAGGTCCAACAGAAAAAGAACATAAAATTAATACCATTTACAAAATAAACCGCATGCATGAACTGCAATGAATATCACAACGACCAAGGTGGGTATCCCCTTGCAATCAGCAGAATCCAAAAGCACAATCCAGCAGTGAAAAGGCACGACATCTATTGCCTCATCATATCAACACATGTAGAGATAACTACGGACATCAATCAATTTGATTGGAACAACATAGAAAATTCGAACAGAGGAGGAATCAGCTAAAGTATTACCAGAGAATTTCTAGAAGCCAGGTATTAGAAAACGAATCAGCGATTAACGAATATACCCAGTATGGATAAAGTTTTCCAACTCATGAAAAATACATCACATGACAAGAAAGTTCAAATTCCAAGTCAGGAAAAATATGACCAGTGTAAATTGACAACCAATCACGATAACGAAGGTTGTCATGAGATACAATTAGATCACACAATTTATGGCGAATTCATTGTCGACTTGGACAATGAAAGTTACGCAATTAAATCAGACAGCTCAGAGAACACAACTAATTGTAAACCACCCACCCACGTCAGCTACAAATCTTCTCTATTATTTCTAATTAGAATATATAATTACGTAATAGGCGAGAATGAATTGTCTCCAGGGTGAACTAAGATTAATCGCTGCGTTGTTTTCCTCATATACACGTTTGCTACTTTTACTTCCTCGATGGCGATAGATTCAGCGAAATCGAAATGAAGTTGACTTTCTATGTTTGCTAAACCAATAGTGCAAGAATTTTGAATATCTCTTTTGTGTTGTGATTCGCATAATTGAGTATCACACTTTCTGAAATGTGTTCAGAGAGGCCAATGGATGCTGACCTGCTTTCAACTTCCAACACATTCATGCTCTGGCACATACACGTCAATCACTAAACACAATTCGGAGGTGACTTCAGATGGATATCTCTGACCACTTCCAATATCAAATATAAAGTGCACGACTAGTGCTGTAAACAGGATGTTGTAGAAAGGCTAACTGCTGTTAGTCTCTTGTTTATACTCTGCGATACATCAACTCCTTTAAAAGTGACTTGAATGACTATAGACCTCTTCTCGATTGTAGTAACACTACTTACCGGAATTCCTCCTCAAACGTGTCATCAATTTGTTTGGAAACCCGTTTCCAGACAATTACTTTTCAAGGACATCCATCTCTTCATGCAATCTATTCTCAAGGCGAAGTTTACGTGCTCCATCAAACAGCCTCCAGACTAATGCTTCCTTGTCCCTTATTGAACAGAAGCTGGAGTTGTTTAAATACTGTCCGGTCCAGGTATCCTTGCAGTATTTCCCCTATCAACTGTACCACCACCTCACAAATAAATCCAGGATGTGAAACTGATTTTCGCGATCCAAAAAATTGAAGCTATGAAACCATTTGCAAGCATGGTTCATGTTCCTATAAATCACGAATATGTCATCCACATACTTTGCATAAAGGCTGGTTTGTTCAATTGCAAATCTGTTTTTCTCGTTTGTTTCTAGATTTCTCATGAGAATATCAACAAGAATACGTGCCGAACAACTTCCCACTTCTACTCTAAGGCATCAATCTGTCTATAAACTTCGTTAGTGGGTAACCAAATTAGATTATCCACTCTCCCTCTATTGAACAATTTGGAGCATTCACACTTTCATAGGATCCCACTCACTCAGATCTCTAACACTTCCATACTATATATACTCGTTTCTACTGCAACTTGAGAAGCCAGTCTCGCAGATGCTGAGTATATTCCATATCCGCATATTAAAAATTAGCTCTGAAGAAAGATTTCCTGTTCAAAATGATGGACAAATTCAGATCCGCTACGCCTTATAGTTTGACAAGTGATGAAGAGGTGGCTAACGACTACCATGTACAGTAGCCCATCCTCCCAACGGTAAGGGATGACTAGTAAACTATGAGAACTTACCATTTCTCGAGTAGAAATCCCCAAGTGACAACTAAGCCTACTCAATCCATCATTCCTGATCCCACAGGATGAATTTCATGCTTTTCTCATGAGAAATCATCACAAGTGTAATGCGGCGCTAATTGGCTGTGACGACAGATACTCGCCGATCATAGCATCGATTTAGCACAAACACATATCGCAAATAGACACAGGTTAGAATTTACGGCGAATCGGATTGAAACACGATGGCTCAATATTTAACAAGTGCCTACTTGAAATGACTTGACAGTTTTCGCTTGGACCCCTACAGTAGAGTCATTAACTATGACAGGACATGTATCCAGATCCAAAGTGGTTTTCAGTGGGCCTCTGACTAACTCACTGGTGTCTCAGTTGGTAACCATATCCACCCTAAAATTAATCAACATCTTCAGATAGCTGAAGGAAAACACCAACGAAATACACGACGAAAATAGTGTTTCAAAACTAACCTCATCCTGAACAGATGCACATCAGGTAGGATACCCACCCACCCCCTCACGTTGGAGAGAAAAGCAAAACAAATCACAAGAACATTGGAGACACAGTTGTTTTTAATCACAATAGAAAACATTCCACGATACAACACTGGTAGTAATTATCTACAAAAAAAGTCTGTTCACCGACAGACAGACTCAGACTGTTGGTAGCCATACAGCATTTAAAGTCACTATGTACAAATAAGGTCATCGCACAATCACAAAAATGCATCCAATTTGATATAAAAGTAGTGAAGCATTCACAAAACTGCAACCTAACATAATATATAACAAGGAAAATACCGTATCCACAAAAATATCACAATTGGGAATTAGGCAAAGATCAAGTAGCACAGAGGGACAGGCGGGGAGGGCGGGAGTGGGGGAGAATTGATTGACTAGTTTCAACCTAGAACTTTGCACAGATGTGCAGCAGTTCCACTCTCCACATCCACACAAGAAGAGAGAAACAGAGAAGTAACAAACAGAAATGTAGAGCAAAAAGAACAGTAGTAAAAATGGAAGGACAATCGAAGTTGACTGGATATTATATATCACAAAGAGTGAATGTGGGCGAGGATTATGTGCACTGGAACAAGAAGAGAAGTGAAACAAAGTGGGGATCGGAGATAAAACAGAATCACCACTACCACCAGCAGCAGCAGCAGCAACAACAACAACAGTGATGATGAAATTACAAAAATCAACTAGAAAACAGTCATCATCTGACATTATTATCATTATCATCATCATCATTGTTATTGTTCCGATGCTTCCTATTCGATGGACAGGGTGCTGCCGTTAACATAGGCCGATTAGTCGTCATCGTTCTCAATTGTTGCAATTGTTGATAACTTCGGTCAATTGGAATGTTTTGTAAATCTGCCACTAGCCTGATATCTTTAGGCATCACTGTAACACGTTTAGCGTGAACTGCACATCGCTGAGCCGACTCAAATAAGCTCACGAGGAATGCTTCAGCGGCTTCTTGTAAGGCCAGAAAGCATATCGCTTGCCAACGAAACGTTAAGTATCTCGGACCAAGTGACGTTGCCATAATATGACGGATATATAGAGAGAATGGCAGCTTCCTATCACCAATCGACAATCAACAAACAAAGAAAAAAACGAACATATAAACAGGTAAACTGCAAAGTAAACAATGAATTCATTCATTCGTTAGGTGGTTTATATTTACAAATATACACATAATAAGGTGGATTTAGTCGACAGTCGTGTTTTCTCCTAGTCTGTCATTCCTCAGAGTAATGCACGCGTGACACAACGAGACACACAGAGAACTCACAACGACCTTCATGTTATCAGGTAAGCTCGTTGACCATTCAGTCACCGGGATGGTGGTTCAATAGTAGATCTCTCGCCAACTACACACGTTGTCTAGGCCCGATTGTAGGTCGACGCACTGAGAAAATTCGCTCAATTTACTAGCTGATAGTAGGTCCGCAAAAGATGGAAGCTTGGACGGAGTTACTGAACAACCCCACCTCCACTTAAAGCAAACAGACAACACTACTAATGAAACTCCACAGTCTGGAGCAGGACTTCATTCCACTCGGAATGCAAGGAGTGAAACGTTCATATAATTTACAGGTGTTTGACACATTCCATCAAGACAGACCTCCTCCTCCTCCTCCTCAAGGAATGAAATCAATTAGTAGGTCACAGTTAGTCAAAACAATCACCCATGGGAATCAAGAAGTTCATTGGATAACTAACAGTCTCATTCTAGCATGCAAATCCGCTAACTTTAGGGAACATAAGATCTAGAGATCTTCAGGCAAGCAAGTTACACCTGCTGTATCGGAAAACCTTCAGTCGTGAATACATCAGTGTTAACTTCCTCTAATGCTTCTCCCCTCTGTCCACCACCACCTTTCAATGTGTGTGCTTCCAAGAAGTGTTGCACAACTTCAAAATGTCGACACTTTGTGCAAAGTTCTCACTTCACTTCATTGGTACTTAGTGAATTACACGACTAGTAAGAAGTAGCACGACAAACACCCAGGTGTTTTTACTAACTCACTTACAGAGAAATTCACCTATAGGAGAAGTAAACTGAATCACTAACTGGCATGTGTAAAACAGGTGTCCCATTCATCTATCTCATTCGGTGAGGTTTCATCACCTCATCGATTGGCTGACTTCGTCTTCTGATTTAATACTTTACGTCTAACCTGAGTATGACGAACCACAGAATGACACAGCAGGGGAGATAGAAGGGAAACACCTACAGCCAACCACAACTCGCCTTTTCAGGTCTCCGTCGTCAAACGGCTACCTACCACAGCCACAAACGAGGTACACAGTAAACTGATGTGTGCCGATAGCAGATGTCACATCTACACCACTATCCTGGTGACTGAGTCCTCACTGACAAATCGAACTAACCAAACTGTCCAAGAAAACTCTGTGATACAAAAGTGAAAAGTAACTAAAACCATTTCTGTAACAGACAAAAAATAGCAAGTACAAATAAGCAACCAACATAAAGAAGAAAACAACTTTGGGTCATTTTACCTTATAAGGAGATTTGTACTCCGCTGGTATGCTGCTATCTCTCGCAAAGCTCTCGTACCCGGTGCAGCACGTTTCGTTGGCCGTTCCGTTTTATCGTTATCATTATCATTATCAGTATTATGTTCTCGTGCAGTATCCACCCCTCGACTGGCCCGTTTCTGTTCTGTTCGCACTAACTGCTGTTTTAGTTGTCGGCCTGAATCACGTGTTTCCGATGGCGGTCCTGGTGGTAATGCATGTGCTGATGGCTCACCTCCATCATCTTGTCTTCGTGGAATAGGACGATCACTCGGTTGTGGAGTATCCTTATAGTTAACATACATCCAATCCGTGCCTTGACGCCCTTCATTAGTGAGAAGAGAAAGCAAATGTAATACTGACTAAATTGACGAATTATAATTCGGAACACTTTCTATCCAGAATTTTGTCACCACAAAACACGTTAACAGCAATCAGAGAGAAGAGTAATCTTCATCAACTGGGAAACCTCTAGGTAGCAGTGGGAACATCTACAGAGATATTTACACTTCAGTTAGCTAAGGTAGCTAACACTACCACCTCATGGTCCCAAAACAGCCCAGTGGTAGGTGATGTCACTGACTGCAGCACCAAAGCTTTGAATCACCACAGGAATACAATTTTGTCCAAGGCTGCTGCTTCTCAGCAATTGATTACCTCTAATCGACTAACAACATTTCCGGGAACTGTTAGAATTCATCAACAATCTATGGTCTACGTGGAAGCATATCACACATGCTAACAGAAAGTAAATTACTCAGTCACAACCTGGATGTTGGGAATTTTCTGACCAGTTAGGAAGATCAAGCTATCGAGACAATCTCCACGACACAGTCGACTTTATCCATTTATTCTGCTAGGTAAAAGAATATTCTCTCCTTAAATGTCGTTTGTCTCCTCACTAATAAAAGCCATCATTGTTTTCCCTGTGATTCCCCATTAACCACCCCATAATATCAATATCAATGTTTGTATACCGATACTCATGCTTTGGTTTAACTCCAATGTAGCAGTGCATTCTACTCTATGACCTCTCTCTCTCACACACTCGCTCTTGGCCGAGTGTCTCATGGGAAACATAGAAAAGACCACATTATGCACAATAATCAATGAGCTCCATCTCTACAACAGAACACACTCACGATACTTTCATTCTTTCTGATGTCAACTAGAAACTCTGATATCTGCTCTAAACACCTATAACAATCAATCCCCACCCACCTAAACACCAACATCACTCTTAAGAGATGAAGAATAATGTTGCTTTTCGCCATTGTTTAATTCCTGACGAAATCCAGATACATGAAGGCCGCATGGGACAGACAGTTTATCAACTTCCAAAGCTCTCCATCTCTAAGCAGGCAAAGAAATATTATCCATTCATCTTCCTCTAGATTCCGAAAAATACACTCACTGAGACCTGTTGGTGTGCAACTGTTAAATTGCCGAATAGTGCTGACTGGAAGTGACTTCTAGTACAGATTCATTAACAAGGACCTGAAACCAAATGATGCACAGCAACAGATCCAGATAACCTCCTAAAACATTTCACTGCTAAATCACCAATTCAAAAGTCATGCGAAGACAGAAATTCTTCAGAACCGGTATCCAAAACTTCCTGGTATAACAAATTCTACAGGGAGACTAAGAACACCAGTTTTTTATTGCAAAATCTGTTCGTAAAAGGCAAGCTTTTACATCAACCTCTATTTACTAGCCCACTTGCTTCTAACGAGATAAGTAAACCGACCGTGTACGTGAACAGCACTAAGTTGGGCTAGCAAAACCAGAACGTGTGTCTTTACTTCGATAACAGAACATCTTGCGAAATCGGGACACTCACCTCCGCAAGAGAAATCACTGAAAAGCTTACACAAGAACCAACAAAATTTCTCAAATGTCATGACATCAAAATATCTAGGTATTAAGCATTTGTGACCTACTGATCAAAACCAACGCCATTTATCCGGAAGGAGTTCAAGTTCATGTTCTTCATGTGGGTCTGACTGAATGATCTTAGAAGACGAGGGAAGTAAAGAAACAGTAGTGTTCAAATGATAACCGTTGGAAAGAGGACTATGTTATCCCTAGAATGATACCCTCCCACTTTAATTTCACTGTACCAGCAGCAGCATCTGTACATCATTCAAAAGATCAATGAAGTAAGAGATGACAGAAGTTCACAATAAAACAAAACATTCATCTACACCTAACATCATGAAACTGAATTCACTGTGAATCAATAGTTGACTTCATCAGATTTGTTCACCTTGTTTGGTATTTCTCGTTAACTAATTTGCATACATGTCATCAAAATGCTCGATTTCTATTCGTACACCGGCTTCTTTGACGGAAGCTTCGACGATGGCTGTTTGAAGGCTAACACGACGTCCGTATGGTTTATGTGATGGTGACTAACGGTGGAATCCAACATGTGCATTTAAACCTATTTGAAACTATTCGTCGTCAGTTGGGTGTACCTGTCTCCTCAGTGAGTGATCCTTTGCCCTCCCTCCTACTTCCCCTAAGACTCGAACTTAGTACTTATTGTTTCAACAACCAAAGTGTTATCCACAAGGTCATCAGAGTCACCTCTTGTGAAACGAATATCACTCGTCACTTGTTGTTTAACCACCAACCAAATCATACCACATAAGTCTTCAGATGTGGCTTTTCAAAGGATCAGTGCTGGGTTCGTCTCACTGGAATCATCACCAACACCACCAAGCACTCGAGGGAAGGGACATATCTACAGTTGTTGGGTCCTAAACAGGACAAAATGTGCATCCACTCAACTGGATTTCGTTGTCAGCAAACCAACCAACTAAATGCCATGATTTTATCACATATGAAAAGATATCTTCAGAACATGTCAGAAACAATGAGATACAAACTCCGTATTATTACTCGCATAACCAAAGATGATAGTAAAAATGAGTGTAAACACTAACAACACTAATCATAATCTCTAGACGTACCTGTTGCTGCTTTCTTCGGCTGAGACAGTCTCTTAAGCACAGAACGACGGGATGAACTGACATTCGAATCAAGATCAACAGGCAACGATCGATTTGAGAGACTGGGAGGGTAATCAAAACACAACATTCACTAGGATCATTGCGTAAATCAGAGAAGCGAATACTACAATTCACTGATAAATCGTAACACTGGTCAGCTTATACAAAAATAAGTTTCCGTTAAAGTACAAAGCCTATACACACATTGTGGCTGCACTGACTTATTAACAGCACATACAAGTAATGTGATACCTCATCTAGTCTACAGTAAGCCAGAAAGGGTTTCACCCGGAACGAACAACTGGCAAGCCAGTTATACCACACTACACTTCCATTACATCAAGACAGAAATCGCGTAATAATCTTTAAGCAATTGTCCCTTGAGATGTCGAATCACTCAAAACTAATCCCTCGACCCTGATCAAAAGATGGTGTGATAAAAAACGAAAACAGTAGAAAGCCACTGCCAACCAGTTATACTAAGTAACTAATTGGACTCCTGAAAGAGATGCTCACTTTTATGCATCGCCTGGTCGGTTGTGTATTCAAAAACCAGCCAACACCTTTGCCGAAATTTCAAAGCATTGGAGCACTATACACCATTTGGATTTCATGGAATTTAAAAATGGCTGTGAAAATATAGACCAGAAACTAACAACACACAAAAGACAATCAATCCCCAACTTCGAATGTATATATGATATGTAGAATACTGACTGCTGTGAATCGAAACTTCGACACTTCAATCAGTGGTTATTTTCACACATCTATCCTTTCTTTCAATTACCACAGACTGTCAATAATCAAAACTTTCATTCTTCAGAGGAATTTAATCCTTCCTCACTCTCAGTAATTCAATGAAGAAAGTGAGTGTCTGCGTGACTCAGTTATTTTGTACTAAGTATTTCTACTTCTTTCAGTGGTCGGTTGTGTCTAAAATCCCACTGGATGCCTGCTAACTTGAAGTGCGGGTTCGATTTGAATATCGCATTCACTCAACGGGTTACACTGGCTTGACGGAATGTTTCTGCAGGTGATGCCGTGCCACACAGTCTAAAAGACACGACTTACAACGCCCAACTCTTTTCCAATCCAGTCCTACGACACTCAACAAAGTTCGCTCCACATTCATCAATATGGTCAGGACGAACTACCACTGACTGGGAATCTGACGGTAGGGTCGTGTTGCTAGCGCATAGAAACGTAGCAGCAGTAAAGGGTTTCCCTCAAACAACTAGCCAGTCATGTATATATACATATATATATCGCGTCATCACAAACTCCTTAAGTGAAGTTCTTTCCAAGGACGGGAAAGCACAACTTCCATCATATCAAAACAGAGAAGTTCAAACGATTGTCCCCTGAAGTCTGCCACCACATAAAACTAGTCCTTCCTGTCTTACCCAACAACTGAAAGTGACTGTTTCATAAGAACGAACCACTAGGTTATAAGGAGTAACTAATTAGACCAGAGAAACGGGATCTCAGGCCATGTAAGACGGAATGATCTCCAACAAGAACATAGCCCTCTTGACTCCAGTGAGAAGAATTTTCAGGAATTTGTACAGATTACTATGAAGTCGGAAAATACTAATGGGATCCATATAGGGGTGTGTAATTCTAAGAATGGCAGTCCACATTAGATGTCGATTGCTCGTGTTTAGAGAACACCTGAATGATGTTGACAAGACTGATTAACACGGATGTCGCCCGTCCACATGTTCAAATGTGGACAAACATACACATCAATGACTCACCACATCATCTCTAATAGTAAACAAAACGATATGTACGAAAATAAGTGTCAAATGCTACCATCAGTGATTTGAAACAGGAAAATATCCGTGAGTACTAACTTCAACTGTTCTGGCACTGTCGCTGTCTTCTTTCTCTTGATTCGGATACTACCTTCAGCCAGTGAGATGTGCGGTGTTTCTAAGTTTAGCTCATTCATAGCCCGTTTGGTAGAGATTTTTGGCGTACTTGAACAGACTGGAGACTCCATCGAAAAAAAACTGAAACCAAAGCCAACAACCCGCCCGAAGAAATTTGATGGGATATGTGACTTAGCCAAACAACGATAATGCAAAAGTGCAACAAGTGTGGGAACCCATATCTATAAGCTGCCTAATTCGATTTCAAAAGCATGCATTATGATTATTACAAATTAACTTTTGAGAGATACGAAAACTTATTCTCATGACTGTATCGCAAATATTTGACTGAAATCATCCCGCATGCTCAAGATCATTGGAAGAGTCAGGCACCTGAAGGTCACTTTCGTCCAATTTAGTCGGCCATGTTGGATTGACGTTCCCTAACCGTTCGTTTACACATTGGCTTTCACGTTTATCCTGCAGTTATTCACAACTTATCTTGATGCACATTGTTCGCAAATGTCGCGTTTCACCTCATTTTGGTTTCTGTTGCAGTTAAAATTAGTTATTTCGTTGGTTTCGAAAGTTTATATCACCAGGTCAGTTCATTCATTTCTTTGTAATTGTTTCATACGTTGCATGCATGCGTGATCCAAATGTATGCTTTTAAATCCGCTGAGTCCAATACTTTCACTAACCGAACTATTGACAGACTCTCAGAATGTAGGTGGATATGCGTCCACACGAATGAAAATAAAGTTGTAGTGGAATGGACATACAGAGCCCCTAACAGAGCAAGTGGACTGATACGTTTATCGGAGAAATCCTGGAGCATTTACCTACGCTGGAATTTGACTACAAACTGGTTTGTGGCGATTTCTAGATCCCTGGAGTGAGCTGGGATTTTTGCACTGAACCTAGAATCCACGAAGAGCTCCTAGAAGCTATAGATGTAGGAGGATGGTAGCAGTGCGTACGCCTCCCAACACGACATAACAATATTCTCGACTTAGTCCTCTGCCACAAAATAGAGCCGATCTCGATAGATGTGGCGATAAACTCGACAACAGTGATCACAACATACTGTACTGCACTCTACTTCTTCAACTAACAACTAGACACACACCTGAAAATTCCCCGGTTTTCTATCAATATAGGTACTACAGAAATACCGACTGGGAATTTCACACCAGCGCTCTTGAGAAGCTCTGACTGGGATGAGTACTTTACCAATAACAACTTAGAAGTAACACTTAATACTTTCTACAAGACAATCAGTTCGGTAAGAGACACAGTCGCGCCCCTACAATCTGCCCTGAAGACACCAACTCTATTCATAGACCGCAGAAACCGATTGAAACTAAGGAAACTGAAGAGGAAATTTTATTTATATAAATAATTTAGTGCATTACACCAGATACAAGAAACGTTTAAAAATCTTGAGGAGAGACATAAAATGAAGGCACAACTCGAGGGGCACCTCTAAAACTCAGGAACTCTGCAAGATCTTGCAAAATCGACTGAAGAAGGGTTAAGACAACAATGTTAACCATTTGGAACACGAAGGTATAATTTATGATGATCCCCAGATTATCAGTGCACTCCTCAGCCAGTGGTTCTCCAATTTCCGACATAACCTGCGAAAATAACTAAAAGTTAGGTGAAATCAACTTTAATATACAAAATATAGCATCAGCGGTAGAGACATTAAAAGCTAACGGTAGTTGTGGGGTAGATGATATACCATCTGTCATATACAAAAATGGTGGTACGGATATAATAGTATTATTACTTAGAATATTTACCCTCTCACTAGTGACTGGGACCTACGCTGAAATTTGGTAAAACACGTATATATTAGCTAAGCATAAAGGAGGGGCCAAAAATGGTGCATGCAACTATAGGCCTATCAATATAACACATACCATATCAAGGATCACGGAGAAAGTAATCAAAGACCAAATGTCAGACTACTTTCTATAACATAAACTCATCAACCAGTCACAACACGGATTCCTCAAGAAAAGATCATGCGTCACTTACCATTTAGGACTTTTTCAACGAAGTCACCTATAGAAGAGATAGGAGAGAACTAGTAATTATCCTCTATTTCGATATAAAGAAAGTCTTCGACAGAGTTCCACATAATGCTTTAGCTCCTAACATCTACAAGCCTGCTCAGTTTCTTGTCAAGATGCTACCCCATGGGCCATACACAAGTTCGCCAGACATCCTACAGGTCACCATATCCAACAGGTTCTAATCCTTCAAGCCGCTTCTCTCTGAAATGTCACTTATATACTTCACGATAATCCTTCTACCTAATTACTATTATACTCTATTTTATCTCAACTTCCTAGTGTAACAACAGAAGGCAAGGGTCAGGCAACAGATCATTTATTAAGGAAATCAACGCATATTTATATATTTTCATGTACATTACTATGCATATTTAAGCAAACAAACACAGTCTTCCGATTGGTTGTTTCTCACGTAAAGTTAATCTTCCATCTATTTGTGACTGTTTCTTGAATGTCAAATCCTCTATATGTTAACTGCATCCGCCTACGCAAAGTCTGCTGTGGTCGGTTTTGAATCAATCTTTGTTCACATTTTCTCACGACAAATCTTGGGAACGTAAATATTGACGTAAATTACTGTCTACCAATTTGGCTAGTAGACAGCTCTCACCACACTCGTGCCCCCGTCAAATAGCTTCGCGCGCAGGCGTTCCGACCTTCTGGGTGATGCGTCCTTTCGTTGATGATTGTTACAGACCGGCTTGTCCCAATGCACCCATCGTTGGATGTGACCGGCGTTAACTCGTTTTTGTTTGTCACCTCTTCTGATGGTATATACTTGACCCCGTCTTTTTGTGACTGTGTATGGTCCTTCCCACTTTGGAAGGAGTTTGCGTGAACCTGGCCCGCATCCGACAGCATATCTTCTGTCTCTACACTTCACTTGGTCCCCGACTGAGAAGGTAATGCACTGAGTCTTTTCTCTCAGCTGAGACTTCGCGACATCCCTCCGCTGCTTCTGCGTTACATTCTTGACGGCTTCTTTCCGTTCTACTTTTAATTTCGTCGTACTCCACTTTTGGTGAAGGGGCCAGGTTTCGTTGTGTACCGGTTTCGTGGTTTTCTACCATACATCAGTTGAAAGGGTGACTTTTTCGTTGTTTCCTGGGTGGTGGCACGATGTGTTAGTAGAATCAGTGGCAGCTCCGTTTCCCAGTTACCGCCCTTCGAGGCCAGCCACTCCTTCAGCGTACGGTTGTTTCTCTCCGTCAGGCCATTCGTTTGTGGATGGTATGGAGTCGTTCGGATCCTCTTGATGCCAAGCTGTTGCAAACGGGAAGTAAATTCTTCACTTTCGAAACACGGCCCTTGGTCTGTCAGTATTGTCTTTGGTACGCCATGATCTGCAACGATGTGTCTAACTACTGCATCTGTCACGGTCCTTGCGTGTTGGTCTGGGATCGCTACGGCGTCTACCCATCGTGTCGCGTGTTCCGTCATCACCAAGAGGTACTGATTACCATTGGATGTCTGAGGAAATGGACCCATAACATCTACGGACCACAAGTCACCTATCGCCGTAACTGGAATCGACTGAAGTGGTGGTCGTATGCACCGGTCGCCTTTCATTAGCTGGCACCGTGGACATCCAAGTACATATCTTGCTACGTCTTCTCTCATACCTGGCCAGTACATACTTTGTCTCAAGAGGTCGGTTGTTCTGGCCACTCCGGTATGTGCTAGCTGGTGGCATTCTTCTATCATGTTGTGGCGCGACGATTGAGGTATGGCAGCTAGCCAGCTTCCGTCGTCCTCTCGCCAGGTCAGAGTCCCGTAGACATTCACTCTTATTCGATCTCTCTGTCTGAGTAGTGTGGTTAGCTCCTTACTCGCTGTAGCTGGATCCACTTCTATTCTGTTAGTGATCACTTGTATTACTGTATTCAGCGTATCGTACAACCTTTGTCTGCGTGCCAGTCTTAGTGGGTCTTGTTCTACTGCATGCACTCCGTACGCGACCTCGTGCAACTCAGACTCGTCTTCTGGTCTCGATAACAAATCTGCGAAGACATTTTCATTTCCAGGAACGTGTGAGATGGTAAAACCGTACTCCTGAAGATGCAACATCCACCGTGACAATTTCCCTCGTGGGTCTCTCGCTGTCTTCAGAAACTGTAGCGGCTTATGATCCGTTTCGATGTGGAACCGCCGGCTGAGTATATAAGGTCTCCATTTGTCGATTGCCCATACCATCACTAAACATTCTTTCTCTATCGTTGAATACTTTCGCTCTGTGTGTGTCAGAACCCGACTGGCATACTCAACGATTCCCTCACCCTGTCTTAGGACCGCACCTATGGCGTAGTCACTGGCATCTGTGCACACTGTGAACTGTCTTCCAGGTACAGGTAGCTTTAGTGTCATTTGTTGGTGGTCGAGCAGCTGTTTAATCCTGTTGAATGTCTTCTGCGATTCCTCCGACCAAACAAACTTCGGTTCACCTAGTAGCCTGTACAGAGGGGCTGCTATCTCATTGAAGTTCTTCACGAAGTGACTATGAAACGCCGCCCTACCTAAGAATTGTCTCAATTTTCTCTTTGAATTCGAGGCCGGGATGGTCTTTATCGTCAAGATTTTCTCCGATAGTGGTTTAATCTCACCATTTCCCACTTTATGTCCCAAAAGAGTTACATTCTTTTTGGCTATCTGAGACTTGGTTTTGTTGACGCGCAGTCCAAACTCTTCGATGCGTCGCAGCACGGCTTCCACATGGTTCACATGATCGTTTTCGTTTTGACTATATATGACGAGATCATCACCGTACACCTCAACGTTTTTCAAGTTCTTAAGTAATAGCGTCATCAGTCGTCTGAACGTGAACGGTGCACCTGCTATTCCAAGCGGCATGCGTTTAAATCGATATTGTGTCTGACCTACGATGAATGCCGTCTTATCTCTATCACCTGGCTTTATCGGTATCTGCCAGTATCCTGAGCGAAGACCGAGAACTGAAACTGAAACTTTATTGAAGATGAGGCAGTAACTCATCTAAGAAGACATTGCGAAATGGTCGCGCTATGTCGTGAATTGGCAGAAGTTAGAATTCAAGGACCATTGGATCGGGTCCCAGTGGCTCAATGGTCAACGAGCTCGGTTTGTAACCTGAAGGTCCAGGGTTCGAATCCCGGTGGGCGCGTACTGCTGAAGAGTCCCAAACTAGGACTAAACAGCTGTCCTGTTTGACTTCATCATAGATATGCTAATGGAAGTATCCTTAACTG